AGTGAAAAAAGTGAGATTCTGGCTATAAGTTCTGAAAACTAGTTGCTTACCTCTTTTGCTTTGACGACGGACCAACGCTCGAAACGTCAGCTTTGAAAACTCCTCACGGTGGCCAATTTATTTGCAGATTTAATGAATGTAACCGAAGAAGTTACAATTCATGGACCCAACGTTTCGACACTCCTGTCTAGTGCCTTCATCAGGGGTGATCTAAACGCTGCAACAAGAGGTCCTTTTATATGATCACTAATTAGCGGCCTTTTTTCTGACGAGGTGTAAATAGGCGTCAGGAAGCAGACCGCCATCGTCACGATTTAAAGGAGCGTGGGCGGAGTTAATGTGCCAAGCCTCCAAACAAAGGCGCTGGTGGTAACGCCGATTAGTGGTGGTAATTTTAGAATTATCCCACCCAATTGTATGGTTGGTTAGGCAAGTATGCTCCGATAAAGCTGAATTTTCCTTTTTGCAAAGAAAAACCGCTTTTTGGTGCTCTTTTAACCGTGTACCAAACTGGCGTTTGGTCTGTCCGATGTATTCGTTATCACAGTCATTGCAAGGAATAGAATAAATGGCGTCGGTTCGTTGTTCTTTCGTGACAGGATCCTTAGGTTTGGCGAAAATATGCCCCAAAGTCAGAAAAGGTTTTTGAGCAACTTTAACGTTGTGGCTATTCAAAATTCTCTTTGTTTGGAGGCTTGGCACATTAACTCCGCCCACGCTCCTTTAAATCGTGACGATGGCGGTCTGCTTCCTGACGCCTATTTACACCTCGTCCGAAAAAAGGCTGCTAATTAGTGATCATATAAAAGGACCTCTTGTTGCAGCGTTTAGATCACCCCTGATGAAGGCACTAGACAGGAGTGTCGAAACGTTGGGTCCATGAATTGTAACTTCTTCGGTTACATTCATTAAATCTGCAAACCAGTGTAGCTTCAAACTATGTCTGATTGTCCACCTGGTTGCCGTGTGAACTTTAATATATTTTAAAGATAGGCCTCTTTGCATATCTACTTGTGAGCCACTCAAAGCGTGGATAACCCGGCAAATCTTGTCCGATTCTTCCACAAAAATATCTCAGCAATGATTGGTGACATAAGCAGAGGAAGATCAGGTGGATTGAGAACAATTGATACCTTAAATTACATTACCCATATAACGATAATTTCTTTAGGCCGTAGCAATTTTTGTTGTCAGAATTGCCAACCGCTTAAAAGTGAATTGAGATACGTTCACTGATGCGCTTAGTATTCTTGTAAGTAAACATTCATACGATTTTGGACGAAGGTCCGGGCCAAAGAGAAAATTTGGCCATGCCTCATAAAATTGTTCTTGAGTGGTTTTTTAGAACATTTCTCCTTAGGGAATGATGCGCATTAAATCGAGAGAGAGCTCGGAAATCACTTTAGAAGAATCAAAGATTTTAAACCCGAAGGTCTGAGAAATGCAAAATCGGGCCAAATGATAAGATTAAGTGGAAGTGGGTGAAAGCTTTTTAAACTTGACTGTATGTCAAATAGAGGTTCAAAAGCCTCAATATTTTATGAGAAGGAGTTTTAGGAAATCTGATAGAATATTTTTTAATGAAGTTTAGCATGTTCTTGATGCCAAGAGAAACTGATCGATATCAACTACCGTGAGCTGATGCTTGATTATATGAAGTCATTATGTGGCGTCGAGGTCTTTCCCAATTGTTTAGCTGTGAAATAGGAGAGTACTCGTCATGTAAGGCAGATGCTTGAGACCCAAAAAAGTTCTGCATGAGCTAAGGAAATCTATGGAGGAGAAGAACGTTAGAATCAGTAATGATTACTTGTCCGAATAGATATAATTGGAGAAAGGTAAAGAGGAGATTATCATATAATAATAACAAGAAACAAAAGACCCAAATCAGAAAAAGTTGTTTTAAAGACACCGTACGCACTCGTGTATTTATGGCTAAAATTAGTCCACTTGAGTTCTTAGTGATCGTTTTATATATTTATATATATATATATATATTTATATATTTATATGAATACGAAGTGAAGAGAAGAAATCACAAGGGTCGAGAAAGACGGAAGAAACCTGTGCGTGCAAGAAAGAAAGTATCTTCATTGATTTGTTTTTGAAGTTCACAATGACACTCCTTGCGTATAAAGTGCCTTCTAGGCGATAAAAGATCGTAGGCAAGGCTTTGTGTTCTAACACACTTAAGATACTAGTAAATCGATTTGAAAAACTGAAGTGATCATTGGTTCTGTGACTCTTTGTACATAATCTTAAATCTCTTATCTGTTTATTTGTATTTTTGCCTTGTCAAAGTTGAAAGTGAATTAATTTTCCTTTTCGTGTTGCTGACTTGGTGTACCCAAGCTTCGTGTCAACCTGTTTTATGGGAACTAGGACAGAAGTTTGCGTGTTCTCCTTTCCAATATATTGAGCCTGTGAGAGGAGTTCGACAATAGATACGTGAGAAATTTAACAAACGTCTTTCCCTTTCGTGCGGTGAGATGCGGAGGAGAAGCTGTTACTGTTGATGGTTTTAATGAGAAGACTCTCTTCGAGAACATTCATCTTCTTGTCAATTGGCCCGAAGATTTTGCATGAATTATTAAAAAGGAAAAGACACTTTAAGTACTGCCAAAAATTAATTAAATTTTAAATCCACAATGTGCTTTGAAATTAAAACTTTTGGTTATCTTCCAAATGTATTCAATTACCAAAACGAACTTGCGAATTTCTATTTGCAATAATTGTAAACAATGTTCATTACAATCACACGGCAATTTCGATTTTTTATTGTTCGATATTTCTTAAAAAGTTGTTTTGGCCCGAATAAATGAATTAGCGTTTGTATTTTTTTCATTTGGGATATGACCGTCTCACATGCAAGATCACATATGGCCCATACTGACTGTCGTTAGATATTGAGTCTATTTGACATTTGACTGTTTGACAAAAGTAATATCACATCCAAAGTATTATTACTTACGACCATGGTTCCGTTTATACAGGTAGTCAAGAGAGTCCTAGACAAGATGTCAACTTTGAGCCACTGCCTTCAATCATTTTAATTCCACAATCAGAAGTTTTACTGTTTTAGAGGAAAGAGAGGAAATCTGCGAGGGAAATATTTACATAGTTTAGGCGATAGATGTGCGACATGGTCAACATAGCTTTTACCTGGAAGGAAGTGGAGGATGCAAATTCGAGAGGAGATTTATAATCCTAAGCATCAGATTACTTGTTACAAGCGATGAAATTTGAAAATCAATTAAACCTTTCTCGGACGTGATCGTTTGAGTTTTCAACTACTTTGAAGTTTTTATGCTGTAGGAAACTCTTCGGATTCAGCATGTTTGACAATTATAGTACGAGTAACCAGACTGGTGATGATATGGGCAATGATGGATGCACGCAACACGTAACTACAAAGGCCGAGAACGTTGGGAAGCTATCAGCCTACGTCATCGTATTTGCAATTTCACTCTTTGGGAATATTCTCATTTTGAATGTAATCTGCAAAAGCAAGAATATGCACAGAAACACCAACCTTTTGATTCTGAATATGGCCATCTCGGATCTAGTCATACCAGTTGTTGTGATCCCTAGAAGAGTTATACAAATCGCTCTGGAAATACCCTCAGCCAAATGGAT